ACGGCCAGAAGTGGATGGTGCCTCTCTTGGAATCAACGGCGAGCGACGGTCCAGAGGAAAAAAGGCATTTGGATGGAGTCCACTCCAGGCAGGATAGCCACCATAGCCGTGCATTGCCCAGTCATCTGCATGGCGCTCCGACGAACGGCTCCTACGCCTAGGAGGAGAGTCAGGTCTCTCAGATGGCTCAACAGCAGGCACTGGCAGTAGGGAGCATTGCCTCAGCAGGGAATCTCTAATTTCTCCATCAGAGATGGACTCCCTAAGCGGTGGCTCCTGTGGAGGAAACACGCTCTCAGGCCGAAGAACAGGCCTGGGGGATCCCGGTGGCATCACCTGCATAGTGGACTGCAGGGCTGGTCCTGAGGGAGTTGGTACCGTGGCGGCTGTTGGTACTGAGAACCCCGACGAACCCAAGTCTTGGTGTTTGGGACGGTCGGGTTTCTTGCCCTTGTGGGCTGCCTTAGCCGCCTTTTCCTTCCTCAGCTTCTTATGGCTGGAGGGCCTTTCCGGCTCTGAATGCTTACGCTTCTCCTTTTGTTTGGTTGGAGGAGAAGGTAGCTGTTGCGCTTCCATTGGAGCAGCACCTTCATCCAAAGGGAACTGCAGTGGCACGGCCGAAGTTGAGGCGGGGCGCTTAGGGGATGCGGCCGGGATAGAGGTGGAGCACTGAGGCAGTGCAGCCGAGGAGAGGGTAGGCCTTGAGACCAGCTGGTCAGATTGAAGCAAGGCCTGGTCCCGAAGTAACTTGTGGATTCTCCCTATTCTTCCTGGCCTGTTTGGTAAAGGCCAGGCAATGCCCACACTTACCGGTTCTATGCCCCTCGCCAAGGCAGAGGAGGCATAGCATAAGTCGTGCGGGTCCGTGGGAGACATTTTGGAGCCGCACTCACTACACTTGCGGAATGCTGCCCGCTGCGCCATCGCGAAAAGGAAAAAAGAGATGATAGAACAGAGGGTAAGTAATATTTTTGGGTTTTGTTTTTTTTTAGAAAAAAGAATGAACAGAGGAACTACAACAAGGGAAGGAGAAACTGGGATATATAACAAGGAAAAAGGTAAGTTGAGTAAGATAACTGTAAAGGAGCACGTGGCGAGATCTAAGTGAGAGACTAACAGGCACAAGGCACAGCGAACGGCGGTCAGAGAGACTGAGTAAAATGGTGGACGCTCCACTCTATTTATACTGCAGGGGGGAGGGGAGCAGAGCGTTTTCCTGCCCAAAACCGTTAGCTTTCTAATCTTCCGGCCTAGGCACTGCGCAGGCGCAGCACCCATATGTGTGATGCACAGAGGCCACGATGAAGAATCAAGGTTTTCCAAATTTCAACATGACTAAACAGTAGTGACAAATAGTAAACTCATTTTTTTCAAACATTAGGTTGCTTAAATCGAGAAAGTTTGAGGGGAAAGCGTGTGTGAAAGGATTTGTATGCTCTAGTTTGGGTACTGAAAACAAATTCCTGGGCTATGTGCCCAGAGACACCTTGTTTCTCAATACTACATCCTAAACCACTATTTTACACTTGGCTCCATTCCAATTAATGGATCTCATTCGGGTTCCAGTGGAAAAACCAAGTAGATCCCACAAAGTACCCACCCTCAAATAATGTGAAGTGTCAAAGTGCAGGGATTTTAGCAAAATCAATTTGCACATAGTTATAGCTGTGTTAAAAGCATCAAACTTGAAAAAGTAATTTAGTGAACAGAAATGAAAGGCATGCAAAATGTGAGAGCATAGGACAGGCATTTCCAACTGCAGAAATAATCAGATGCATTTGGAATTTTGGCATGTTTGTAAATCAATAATAGATTTGCTTCGCAAATAACACAGAACAGATGGGACACTTACGAATGTTCTCAACACTTACTCAAGTTCATGTTAAAAAGATGCTTTCAGAACTGAATGCACACTTATTGCATTTGGACTGCTTGTTGTACAGAGATACAACAGCTGCTTCTTCAAATGAGCTGCTTCTTCTAAAACATATCTTTTCCAAGTAATAATGATTATTTATTATGTTTAACTTGAATGCATGTTTCCCTCCCCTCCCAGTATTGACAATTATTTTGCATGGGGTCCACCACTGGGCCTGATCACTTTGTTTTAAATGCATTCATCCTAATAAGAATAATACTATGGAGTGGAATGGTCTGGTGAGAACTCCCAAGACTCTGGAAGGAAGTTTCTATATCTCTTTTCATGGCTATGAAGAAATGTTTCAGAATGTGCTAGCACATACTTTCAAAACATTTCTGAACAAACTGCCAGATGCTATGCCCAATTCTTCACAACCCTGGCATCATAGGTTTTTTTTCTCTTTGGATCATCTTATTCTCTTCCACTGCCAGAATTTCCAGTTAAGCTGTCTATGTGCTACTATATGATGAACTGAACATCACTCTTCAAGAAGACTGTGTTCTGTAAACCACACTGTACTCAGAATTTCTACGTTATTCAAGTTGCACTTCACCAAACACTTGACCTAACTAACATGTATCTCAGTCCTAAACATATTTAACTGGAAGTCCCCCCGACAGAACTTATCAAGGAAGCTTGCTTGGGACAGCAGTCCATGTCCCATTTAAACAAACAAAATTAAGCCAATTTAAGTGAAAGTACATTGGTTCAAGACTTTTTGGAGCTTAATTAGTAAAAGGTGGAGAGAAATTAACATTTCTAAATAGGCATCATGCTTTTCCACACATTTGTTCTTTCCAATTCTACACTGCTTCTTAGATGTCAAGTGTGAAAATATGACACACACATCCCTCAGAAATGGCACAGGAACAATACCTTGTCATACGAAAAGACCAGGAAAGATCAGACTCAGCATGAGCCTAAATAACTGACTGCAAAGGGGACTTTTCATACTTTTCGTTTCTAATCAGCATCTCTCCATCCACTGTCTGGCAACCCATTGTGTGGGAAGATGCCTTCAGCTTTGTTAGGTCCACCATCTTCTAAGGTACCATAGCACCAGATGAAAAAGATATGCAGGCAAGAGTAACAGACCACCTTTATCTTGATTTTCTCCTTTCTTATGTGTTCAGATGTCACATGGATATAGCAAGTACTCTCTTGTTTGTATCTTCTGCTTTGCCAATTGTCTGCTTTCCCATCAGAGGTGTTAGACGCTAAGGCCTGCTCCAAAACCAGCTGTAACTGGGAGCCAATAGATGCTAGTCCTTTTGCTAAATCAAGAAAGCAATTTTGAAAAAGTATATGAAACATGTCAAACATGAAACAATTGTCATGGGTAAACAAGCCATGTTGACTTATTTATGCTGTTGCACAAGCCAGACACCATTTGCTGAAATATCCCAAATGCAGCTTTTTGTGTTGTCTGAAACTGGGTGGTATGGCTTACTGGAAGGGGAACTAACTTTCAAAAAAATCCAACAACCACCAATGGTTTATTTGAGGGTTGTTTCCCCCTCCAGCATGGCACACTGCCATCAGGCATGCTTAAACTAAAGTCATCCTGCAAACCAGATAAAGAGTGTTTGCAGTGAATTCCCAAGCAAAGATGAGCACAATCCTTGGCATTCCTTAAGTACCACTGAGACCAAAACAAACTTTAATATTCATACTTTAAAATATATGCAGGGGATCAATCTACATTAGGCCCTCGGGGGGAGGGGGGAGTTAAGCCCCTTACTTTCAAGGCTAGGTTTTCAAATCAAGTTCAAGGTCCCTGCCCTGCTCACTGCTTGTAAAATCAAGGTTGTGGCTTTTTTCATGGAATCAATCAACCTCAGTCTCTCTCTTTTTCTGCCTTTGACTTTCCCTAGTATGACTGTCATTAGTGAGACTTGCCTTCTCATGATGTGCCCAAAGTACACATCATTTTTGCTTTCAGAGAATGTTCGGGCTTGATTTGATCTAGGACCTGCTTATTTGTCTCTCTTTTGGTCCATGTTATTGACAAAGATCTCCTCCAGCACCATGTTTCAAACACTTCAATTTTCTTCCTATCAGCTTTCTTCACTGCTCAGCATTCACTTCCATACATAGTAATAAAGGATGAGATAGTGTGAATGATCTTGACCTTGTTCTCCAGTGAAATGTCCTTACTTTGATGATCTTTTCTCCTTTCTTCATTGCTGCCCTTCCAAGGTATGCAAAATCTTTCACACTTTCAATTTCTCCATTTGTGCAATTCTTCTGTGATAATGATTGTTTTCTAAATGTTCAGCTATAGTTCTCCTTCTGCACTTTCTTCTTGCATTTTCATCATGAGTCATTTCAATTCATTGCTGTTTTCTGCCAGTAATATAGTATTATCTGTGTTTCTTAAACTACTGATATATCTTCCACCAATTTTCATTCCTACCTCTGATTCTAATCCACCTTCCCTTATGATATGTTCTACATACCGAATGATTTGATTGGGAGATGAGATACACCCTTGTCTGATGCCTTTGCTTTACAGGAAACCTTCTCCATATTGGATTCTAACAGTAGCTTCTTGTCCATGAAACAGGTTATAGACAATAAAGTGCTGAGGCACATCCATTTCTTTCAGGACCATCCACGGCTTCTCATGATTCACACAGTGAATTTGCTGTGTGCCAATTTATTTGCTATAGCCAATAAAGCATAGATTGAACTTTGGAAATTCTTTCGTGCATTCCAGTAGCCAACGTATTTCTGATAAGATATACCTTTTTCTTTTTGGAACCCCGCTTGACATCTGGCATTTCTAGCTGCAACTCCTTCCATTGCTTTTCTTGCACAGAAAATTAGTGCAAAAGGAAATGAAGGCAATGCTAAAGTAAAACAATAAAACAATATAGATAAAAATTGAAAGTAATGTCTGTTTTGGCCCTGAAATTGGAATGCACAAAGAGGTATGCAGTTTCCCATCCATTCCAATTGGGCTTGTGTTGGTAGTGTTTCTGTAACCTATTTATATCGGAACCAAAAAGCATTATGTTTCCTACATTGCCTGTATGTCTGAGGCAACAGTAATTTTGGATCTGGTTAGTTCCTTTACCTTTTGTGGATCCCACTGGAATCTTCTAATTCCTCAAATTCCATGTGAAAGACACTGGAAAACGAATCCTAAAAATGAAAGCAGAGTTTCTCCTTTGTTAATATGCATAAATGGAATTAACACTATTCCAAAACACCTATTAAAGATGCAGTTCAATGCCCACTGCCCTGAATACACCTTAAATCTGCACCTGTATCCAATGCAGGAAGTAAGGCACCTGGTTTTCGCCATCTAGGTGAAACAGCATGAAGAGGGAGGGAAGGGGCTCCATCTGGAATTCCATCTGGGCACTGCAAGTCTTTGGTCCCAGCGTTCTTTTCTGTGCTTTCTTCTGGCATACTTTTTCCTCCCCTGATGCAAGTGTGTGGCCTCAGAGAGCAGCAGGGAAGTTCTTTCTGTGCCAGCTGCCAAAAGGATGGGGGCCCAGTTTCCAAAGTCCCAGTACCAAAGTTATGGGACTCTGGAGCTAGAGCTCCAATCCCAGACGATGTCAGGAAGCTGTAGGACTGTGTCCCTAATCAATTTCTCTCTTGCCTAATGACAAATGGCTCTTTTGAAATCAGTGACTTTTTTCTGCTGCATGGTAAAATGTTATGGGACCAAGGACAACATAGTACAATGTTGGCAGCAGGTTTTCTGACCATAGCACTGATTTCAGTTTAGTCTTCCTAATTAAAAATCATTCCACAGACTGATCCAAGGTCAACCATTGGTTTAACCATTGGTTTAATCAGCATTTAAGATAGCACTATCCGAGTGTGGAACTGAGCATACAGTTTAAGAATTTAAGAAGTGTTCTGGATCTGGCCAAGGCCTATTACAAAGGCGTTGAGTCTTTTTTAGCCCAAGGGCAGAATTTCATTTCAGAGTTGCTATCTCGGGCTGCATTCCAGTGGTGGGCAGAGCCAAAGAGGCAGGCAAAAATACCAAAAGCCCAGCATATTGCAGCTTAAAGCAATTACAGCAAGTAACTGGCTGGTTATTTGAACCTTTTAGAATTGGTGGAAAACTATAAACTCACCAAACCACCAAATTGCTGGTGGTCAGAAGAAAAGGCATAAGATCAAGCAAGAGAGTGTGGCCATCTGGGAAACACTAGACAGCCATATTTGGCTGCTGGATCCAATGTTCTCCAACCCTGACCTACTGAATCCAGCAACCTGTTCCCATAGGAGCCAACCAGATGCTTACAGGAACCTACAAAAAGGATATGAACAATACCACAGTGCTGCTTCCCCTTTCCCCATCCTATGGACTTGGTTTTGAGAGCTCTACTGCCTCTGGTACTGGAGATAACATCTCATCATGACTGCTAGTCATGAATAACTTTTTCTCCTCCACAAGGCCAGGAGCCGATGTCAAAATGGTTACAAGGTTGAAATAAAGAGTTTAGCATCACTTTTTAACTTTACATGAGTCCCACTCCTGTTCACATTTAGTATGGAGTTGTTATTTGGATCCGTATGTGGTGCTGTTGACCAGGCAAGAAGAAAAAGAGAAGCTATGACATGTTATAAAAGCTTCAGATAATCTAAAAGACTGCCTGTCTCCATATTCATCTGTGTATGCCTTAGAACTGCCTCCTAAGCCTCTTTTCCAAATTCTTCTGCCAGGTGACATGCAGTAGGGGAATACTGGAAGAGGGAACTTCAGTAATGGCTTCCCGGAGAAAATTCCATGGAGCTTCCACCAACATCATTTTGGCAGAAAAAAACTTTTTATTCTCCCAGGACTTTTAATCTGTCCCTCCTTTACATTTCTTTTATCTGGGCTATTTATTTTATTTATTTATTAAAACATTTTTATGCCGCCCCATTCACCAAAGCCTCGGGGCGGCTTACAACAATAAATAAAACCACATAAATTAAAATATACATATTAGAATAGTAATAATAATTTAAAATACAATATACACACAATATAAAATAAGCCGCCCTGGCCAGATAAAATTCAGTAGTATTAACATTTAAAATGTTGCTTAAATAAAAAGGTCTTTGCCTGGCGCCGTCGTTATTTGTTTTTCGGCGC